ACACAAGGAATAAAAATGATCTGGCATTGTTAGGAATTTACTTTGATGTGTAGCCAAAAGAGACCCTTCAGTCGAAGAGCAAGTTTGCTTCCTTTCTCCCATAGATATATATAGCTGTAGACTGGTTTACTGTAAACCTTTCACCCTGTGTGGGGGGGAGGAAAGGTGGGGGGAATCAAAATCAGTAGGGCTTGATAATTCTCCAATTTTTTCGCCCTAAAAGTTTCTTTCCACCTGGCCCCAATAAACAATATTTCAATCCACTGGAAACCTGAAGGCTAGCTTTTTTTTTCTTTCTTTTTTTAATAATCAGCATCATCATCATAAAAATACATTATATATATATATATATTGCACCAAAGTAATTTTTGTTTTGTTTTTCTTCCATGTATACACTGTTCTGTTCTGATCCTCTCCGGGGGTTGACAAATTAATGGGGTGACAAGTTCACAGATAGACTTAGCACGGTCTAGATTGGGGGGTTGTGCGTGCGTGCGTGCGCGCGTGTGTGTGTGTGTGTGTTACGGGGAGACACCTAACATCGTACTTTCACAGTTCTGGGGGTGGGGGAGAAGAAGAAGAAGAAGAAGAAGAAGGAACATTTAAAACCTAGAACAGAATGGGCGTGGGCTGGGGGTAGGGGGTGCTATGTGCAGTGGAAGGGGGGAGGGGAAGGGGATTTCAGAGCCCACGGTGGCGGGGGTGTTAATTATGGAAAAACGCGTTGAGCTCCTCGTACATGGGGCCTCGCTCGTGGTGGAGATGCATATCGTAAGGCAAGATGTTCTCGGAGTGGACTCCACCGCGCATCCCCGAGGAGCCAAAGACCAAGTTGTGGCCGGAAGGGCGGGAGCTGGGGAGGGCCGAGTAGTGCATAGAGTAGTGGTAATTTTTCTCGTGATCCGGGGAAGAGTCTTGCTTGAGGGAAAAATTGCCATTAATGCACAGTGGAGGGCTCAGGGGGCCGTCGTACTCAGAGCTGTTGTAGTCTGGAGACGCGTTCCCGTACAGGGTCTCATAGGTGGCGCAGTACGCGTGTGTCCTCAGGGCATGGGAGCTGGCCATGGTGCTGGACTGACACTGCGCGCCGGACAGCCGCGAGCACTGGTAGGTGTAAGGGTGCATGGCAAAGGAAGAGTTGGGCCCGTGGTACCTCCCGGCCTCCTGGCCCTGCTCCGTGAGAAAATTCCGCGAGTTGAGCTGGAGGCAGCCGGCCACCAAGTTGGTGGTGGGTTGGGACAAGCCTTTGCACAAAGTCTGCACGTAGGAGACCAGGTCGGGCCGCTTGCCCGAGCGCAGGATCTCGGAGAGAGCCCAGATGTAGTTCTTAGCCAGCCGGAGCGTCTCGATTTTGGACAGTTTCTGAGTCTTGGAGTAGCAGGGCACGACCTTGCGCAGGTTGTCCAGCGCCGCGTTCAGGTCGTGCATGCGGTTGCGCTCCCGCGCGTTGGCTTTCTGGCGTCGCAGTTTGGAGCGCTCCAGCCTGGCCTTGGTCATCTTGCGCTTTTTAGGCCCGCGTTTCTTGGGCCGATCGCCTTCGGCCTCCTCCAGGCCTTCCTCTTCCTCTTCCTCCTCCTCCTCGTCGCCTCCTATGTCGCCTTCCTCTTTGTTTTCGCCCAGGGACCCCTCCGTCTGCTCCTCCTGGAGGGGGCAGCTTTTACCTTTGCGCTCCTCTTTCTCGGGCCTCTCATCGTCTTCGCAGTCGTCGGCCCAGCTGGAGAATTTCTGCACCTCGGGGATCAAGCTGGGCTCGCTGAACAGTCTCGTCAACATGATGGCTGGAGAGGGG